ATATCCGCACGTTCTATACCACAACGAATTGTTCCGTTTGTTTGGTAGTTATATACAATCATGCACATCTAATTTTAAACTGCATGGCTGTGAATTAATTACAAATTGCGTTTTGAACCTTCCATTTTCTTTCCATTCTTACAAATTTGAGTAGAGTGGCTATTTGAAAATTGGTTATGCTTTTCAAAATATACACACCCTGTATATATTGCCTCAAATATGTATATTGGGAAAAAATAAGAATCATCTTGCGGCAGAGGCGTACGAACCGGGTGGGACCAAAGGATCCCAAGTTTTCAGAAGACAGGAAAAGACTCTCTTTCGAGTTGCAAAATGCCCTTTGCCTTCGTGAAATGAAAAATGTTGTTCTGATTGCATTTATTTTTCATTCACTTTCTCCCCCTCCCCCCCCACCCCGTCGCCAGCATTACTTGGAAAAAATTTTAGGTGCCCTTTTCATTCCAAAAGTGCCCCTTAAAACCGCCCCCCCCCACACTTTGGTGCTTCCTACGCCCTTGTTTTACGCATCAAAATACAACAATAAAGTGAAAACATTGGATAGTCCATCAACTGATCACATTTTAATTCTCTACCAACATTTCAACAACAATTATTAAACATTCATCTTGAGGCTGGAGTTTTCATACCATTCATAATATTTTACTACTCATTACATTACTGACAGTATAGCTACTTCACTTTTATCAAGGATTATAAAATTAGGCTAAAGGCGTAAAGTTCATATCTATGAATCTATTCGTTCACAATAACACCATATATCAACATCCGATCACACATATCCTATAAAACGTATAGTAATTTTGAGTAAAGAAACACTGAACATTGGTGTATAATATAGGCACCTTATTAATCCAGTCGATCTTAAATTATTTGTTAAAGGTTATAGTTTTTTTCACTGCGAACCTTGACATGACATAAGACAAGCCATCAAGGGCAAGCCCATTAGATATTTAATTTCATTCAAGATAATGATATTAATACAGTATATCTGCACTGTATACAAATCACTGATATATATGGGTATTTTATCTGTTAACTTTTGCACTTTTTCACCATGATTCTTTCACTATTTTTGTTATTATTAATTCACATTCTATACAGGGTGTATCAAAAAAAGGTAATCGAACTTCAGCGCGCTATTATACGTGAATTTCTCGGCGTATGAACAATTGGTTTTCATATTCGGAAAGATTAGGCTTTTAGTTATTGAATGACTAAAGGAATACCGAATGGTTTTCCGTGCAGGATTGCGTGATCCGTACACGAGGGATGTTGCGAGATCTTGGGAAAGCGTAAAAATACACGAGCCGTAGGCGAGTGTATTTTTACGCTTTCCGAAAGTCGAGCAACATCCCAAGTGCATGGATCATGCTATCCTGCACGGGAAAACCATTTGATAATTGTTTTATAAAATTACTACAGTGAAACGACGCTTAACTT